GCCAGGGAAACCCAAGCCTCCCTCCTGCTCTCTTTGTGGCCGCAGCCATCTTGGTTGGGTTTATTTGTATATTTGCTCCTGATTGGATGGTGGGCATGGCTTGTGTGTGTGTGTGCGCGCGCACGCGTGCGTGCGTGCGTGCGTGCGTGCGTGGAGGTACGGTCAATTTGCATATTACTCATTTATTAGATAGGATTAGTCAGCAGAGAAATGATGAAAAGTCACTCTTTTGCTTGAAATTTTATCCTATTTGCTCTACAAGGCATTAAAATTACACATAAGCAGCGGTGTCTGTTGTGGCTGTATATAATCTTAAAAATGGAAAGTTTCTTGCTCTGATTCCTACCTGCACATTGGATGGCACCACAGATTTTGCTTTCAAACTTTAGATTGTGACCTATTAGTGGATCTTGAAATTATTTACTGGTTTTAAAACATGTTATGGATTTTTTAAAAATGAAATCAAGTGGAATAAAAATAATATATCTTCTTATAGTGGGCCCTGCTTAAAAACTGTGAATATAGTACCTCCAACTCCATCCTTAATGGTCCGCCCCTATGGCCTTGGTCTTGCTGCCTCTGCTAAGACGTCCTCCTGCTGGCCTTTGATGTCAGGCATGGGCTTGTCACATATGTACAGAAAATAATTCATTAGACACTGCATGTAGAACTCTCCACATATTCAGAACTTAGTTATAACATATGCTTCTCACCTGGGAAATACAAGCAACTCACTGGAAATGCTGTTTTATTTATTTGCTAGGCAGCTATGTTTTCTATTTTTCTTTCCATGGTATGAAAATTTTTCTTCAAACCTCACTGTTTTGTTTTTTGTTTGTTTGTTTGTTTTGGGGGGAGTTGGCAGGGGGAGCGATGCAAAGTTTAGGAGTGTCTTCTCAGCAATCCACCCAGTCCCTTCCTTTCTGCTTCAAGGTCCTTCCTCAAAAGCACAGAACTGTGCAAAAGAAAAGTGAGAGGAAGGGGTGGGGAGCGGGGTGCAGAAGGGGCTTTCCCTGGCCTTTCCTAACCCCTGAGTTCCAAGGGCTTGTTGGAGGCTCACATTTTTGAAATAAAACCTGCTTTTGCCATTAATGCAAATATTACTCAGTGATTCATCCTTTTTGACATTTGGCTTTGAATGATGAATTAACATTGACATCACTCTAAGGTTACTGTTACCTCAGCTCTTCACAGTGAACTTAAACTGTCTTACCAAGTGTATAAAAGTTTAGACTTAACCATCACCCAAGTATCTTTGGGACTGCTTGTTGGGCTTTTAAAATTATGATCTTTTGGCACACATTTTGCATGAGGAGTTTGTTGGAGAGAGGACTTAAACTGCATTTAATTGGTCAGTTTGTCCAGTGCCTACAATTTAGATTCATTAAGGTTTTAACTACAGTTGTGATTATGATAATAGCCCTGCATCAGTTCTATAAAGAAGGTTTAGTTGAGGTTTTTTTGTAATTAGGGTGAGGGCTGCTTCATATTGGATCCATGCATTTGCAGGCCAGGAAACCATCCACAGTTTAAAACTATAAATATATTGAATGTAATGGAGTTCCTGAACGTGTCCTGTCAGTTTAGCAAGTCAGCAGTCTTACCTCTGCTTTTGAGGGCTGTTGGCTGAGATTGTTTGAGAGGACTCAAGTAATCAGCCCAGATTAATAGAAAGCCTAAAGGCAGAAGAAGAAAGGGTTTTAATATTATTTTTGGAAATTGGCTCCTGTGGTGTTCTAAAAATAAGGATTTTTTATATAGAATGTTGTAACTGGTATTACCACGTCACCATACTGTTTTCCTTGTATTCTTCGTATAACTGAAAATCGTGCTAATGATTCTTTAATATAGTTATATACCTGAATGCCTTTAAAAGACCAAGTTTACAAAAAGAGTTATGATGTAGGTAATTTGTTCTTTGAATAAACATCAATTAGCTCACTAACATTCTGAGTTCTTTTCAAAAGTCCAACCCATTGAAGTCTCTTATATTGCAGGTGAAGAGACAGAGCACAGTGAGGTTAGTTGTATATCCAGTCACGCCCCCAGCAATGGCAAAACTCTTGAATTTCCAATGACGTAATTCCTCTTTATTGTGTCAAGTCAATTTCCCCCCTTTTGACAGCTTGTCTTAATTGAGTACAGCTGTTTGTACATCTTCAAGCAGTAATTTATTGTTTTAGATAAATACTTCCTTGCATATCAGCACGGCCTTCTTGTTCTCTGGGCTGAGAGCTGCCCTTTCCCCTGGTGTTGAAGCTGGACTCCACCCCAGATCCCATTAGGCACCCTCTCGAGGCATTCTCTCCCCTCACCGGTCACACAGGGCTTTAGCCGGTATCTAGAGAATTTCGTTGCACATTAGGGTCTCCTTTGGGTGATTTTTGTCCTTATTGAAGTGTCGGGCAATGTATTCATTAGGGCAGTGGTGGGCAAACTATGGCTCATGAGCCACATGCGACTCTTTGGCCCCTGGCGTTTTTAGCAAAGGCCAGCTTAGGAGTACCCTAAGTAAGTTACTAACAATGCACCTACCTATATAGTTTAAGTTTAAAAAATTGGGCTCTCATAAGAAATTTCAATCATTGTACTCTTGATATTTGGCTCTGTTGACTAATGAGTTTGCCAACCACTGCATTAGGGTGAGGGCTAAACTGTTTTAACAAGGAGATCCCTGAGTGCACTGGGTTAAAGAACAAAGAAGTTTTGTTCTCCCATCACCAGCGGTGTTAGCTGCCTGCCATTCATTGTCACCAGTGTGGTAGAAGCTCTGTCTTCTCCGTGTCTAGGTTTTATCCAACAGGAAAGAGAAAAAAACAAAAACATGAAGGAAGGATGTTAAGCCGGACGTGGCAGTGACACGCAGTAGTTCTGACATTCCCTTGGTGAGCCTGTCATTGGATGGCCACCCCTGACTCCCAGGAAGTGTGGGGTTCGCTCCAGCGGAGCAGCCTCACTTCCAGCTACAGCTCTGTCCCTGGGAAAGGAGAGAACAGATTTTGGCGGGCAGTTACCATCTCCAGCCCAGTCCCAAGTACCCCACAGTGTGGTATACACTTCACTTGGGGGTTAGGGGGAACTTTGCCTCAGGAATTCATATTTGCTTTCAGCCTGTGATATTTTTATCTTTTAGTTTTTCGTGTACTATATCTAAAATTTGAGGTTAGTAAATTTAAATAAAATTAATCTAAATAAGGCTATTTCTTAAGTAAATAAAGCCAGCATGATATATGACTTTAGATACTGTTTTTATCTGGCAGTATGATTCTTTGGTTTTCTCAGGGCCTCTGGATAATAGAAGATTGCTAGGCTTGCAATGTGTCATTATTTGGCTGTCGATTAAGTTGGAGACTATAGCATTGATAATAAGGGCTCATATTTTCCTCTAGATGTGTGAGATCATGTGATCCAAGAAATACCCTTGTAAGAACCTAAACTGCGACAAGCCATAATGGTTATGCTGAGAGGCTCACACATCTAGAGGAAATAATGAACAACATAAACTGATGAACAAAAACAGACCCAGAGAAAGAAAAGCAGCAATCAGACTCTTAAACCTCAGAGGGAAAGTAGAGGAGGGTGAGGGTAAGGGAAAGAGATGAACCAAAGGACTTGTGTGCATACATATGGGCCTAGCCAGTGGCCATGGACAACAGGGGGGTGGGCATATGTGGGGAGGAGTTTGAGATGGGAATGGGGGGATGAAGACAATTATGTGATATCATAATCAATAAAAATAAAAAAGTAAGGGCTCATATTTTTATGTCTTCCTTTTGAAGTTTTAATATTACAGCATTCCTATACAGTAGTCCCCCTCTCTCACCCATGGGGGGTACGTTCCAAGATCTCTAGGAAATGCCTGAAACCAAGATAGTACCAAACCCTCATTATTACATATTTTCTATACATACATACATACATACATACAGTAAAGTTTAATGTATAAATATACCCAGTAAGAAATTAACAGCAATAACGAATAATGTCATAGAAAAAGTAGGACAATAAATTACAATAACAGTTATGAGAGTGTGGTCTCTATCTCTCAAAATATCTTATTGGGCTATACTCGCCTTTTAACGTAAAGGAAGTTCTTTATGGCTTCTTTTGGGCATGTCCGAATGGCCAGCATCACTCCTTGCACATTGGGCCGTTATTAGGTAAGATAAGAGTCCCTTGAACACAAGCACTGCGATGCTGTGACAGTCGATCTGATCCCCTAAATGGCCACTAAGTGACTAGCAGGTGGGTGGGGTGTCCAACGTGGGGACACTGGACGGAGGGATGGTTCACACCCCGGGTGGGACGGAGTGGGGTTGCAGGGGGTTCATCATGCTATTCAGAAAGGCACACGTTTTAAAGCTTGTGAATTTTAAAGCTTTGGGGAACTTCGCATTTAACATTTTCCAACTGCGGGTAACTGAAACTGCGGAAAGTGAACCGTGGATGAGGGGACCATGGCGATGGTTTGAGAGGGCAGGAAATGGGCACAGCACACCGTAGCAGCCTCCCCCATGCCCTGATGCGCTGACCACGCCCTTTGTCAGCAGGGTGACTGCCTCTGAGCTTCTCTGCTGGAGCCTGGAGGCAGTTCTAGCATCATCACAGAGTTCATGCAGGGTTAGCAAATAAACTACGCAAAGAGCTAGGACTAAATCATTGAAGCCTACATGGTGACAAAAAAGAAAGGGCCTCTGAGAATCCAAATACGATTTTTATACGGAGGATGACGGTTAGGTATACCACGCTCCAGCACACTGTGCAGAGCCTGGCAAAAGGGCTTTTGGATTATACATAAATGCTGATTCCTGGGTTATGCAAATTTTTCTGCTGTTAGATTTAGGACACAAAGAACTGTACCATGTCCTCTTCAAGTCCTTGAAAAAGAATCATATTGGGTCTTACTGGCATAACATAGTTGACTCCTGGATGGTGGAATTGTTAAGGTGTATTTCAGGCTTACGGTTTGTTTTTGTTTTGCTTTGCTGTACAGCTCCAGAATGGCAGAAGAGGATCCATATTTGGGAGGGCATGAACAAGTAGGTATTATAATATCTCACTGATCATTTTCTATAAATATATTCATATTTTAAAACATACAGAAGTAACAATAGTAACAATCAGGCAAACTCTAAAATTGGTAAAACTCACCTTTACATTGTGTGTGCAGTTTCCCTCTCCCTCCATGGAAGGTCGGAGAGGATACGTCTTTGAAATGAGTAACTTAAACCCTATTATCACACACACACTGCTGCATAAAAACGATGTATGCTACAGGGCAAATAGTAACTACTCTATTAGTGTCCTGGGGCTGCTGTAACCAATGACCACAAACCGGGTGGCTTACAACAACAGAAATATATTCTTTCACATTTCCGGAAGCTACACATCTAATGTCAAGATGATGACTACTTCCCGAAGTTCTGAAGGAGAATCTGTCCCATGCCTAGGCCCTGGTGGTGGCAGGAATCCTGACATTCCTTAGGTGGTAACTGTATCATTCAGCACATGACCTCCTTCCCCATGTATCTCATTTCTCTGTATCCAAATTTCCCCTCCTTTTCTTTCTCTTTTAAAAAAAATATATATTTTTTTTATTTCAGAGAGAGAGAGAGGATAGAAACATCACGGATGAGAAAGAATCATTCATCGGTTGCCTCCTGCACGCCCCCCTTTGAGGACTGAGCCCGAAACCTGGGCATGCACCCTTGGCCAGAACCAAACCCAGGACCATTCAGTCTTCAGGCCAAAGCTCTATCCACTGAGCCAAACCATCGAGGGCCCTTCCTTTTCTCTTATAAAGACACCAGCCCACCCTTTAGTATGACTAGATCTCAACTTGATTACAGTCTGCAAAGACACTATTTCCAAGTAAAGTCTCAGGTACAACGGGAACACACAACATTTATTCAACACTCATCAAATGAGGAGGCAGGCCGGTATAGTGCAAAGATCTCTCTCGGACTTAGAAGTTGAAGGTCTTTATATAAGCGTTGGCTGCTACTAATGAGTTCTTAAAACTTGGTAAATCAGCCCTGGCTGGTTTTGCTCAATGGTTAAGAGCATTGGCCAGTGCACCAAAGGGTCATGGGTGTGATTCCCAGTCAAGGGTACATACCTTGGTTGTGGGTTTGCTCCCCAATCCCTGGTGGGACACTTGTGGGAGGCAGTGTGTCTCTCTCACATTAATGTTTCTCTCCTCTCACTCTCTCCTCTCTCCCTCCATTCCCTCTGAAAAGCAATGGGGGAAATATCCTTAGGTGAGGATTAACAAAGAAAAGTTAAAAAAAAAAAAAAAAAAAAACTTGAGAAATCATTTAGTACCCTCTGATCCTCACTTTTCTCCTTTGCAAATAGGAATGCTAACCCCACACTAACAGGTGTGTTGAAAGACTTAATGGCAGTGAATGCTTTGGGAGCATAAAACATCATTATTTTGGCAATTATGAAGAAATGCCAGTGTCTTTTTAAAAAAATATATATTTTATTGATTTTACACAGAGAGGAATTGAGAGGGATAGAGAGTTAGAAACGTCAATGAGAGAGAAACATCAACCAGCTGCCTCTTGCACACCGCCCACTGGGGATATGCCCACAACCAAGGTACATGCCCTTGACTGGAATCGAACCCAGGACCTTTCAGTCCACAGGCTGACACTCTATCCACTGAGCCAAACCGGTTTTGGCCCAGTGTCCTTTTTTTTTTTTTCCTCCTAGTTTTTCACTTGGACAAATTTGAAGCCTATAGAAATGTTGAATAGTCTAACAAATCTTTGTTGATGATTAATGATTTTTTTATTTATATATCTCTTAAATATTTATATCTACATTATATAGACATTAAATGAGCCATTTGAAAGCAATTTCAGACTCTAGGGTAATTACAATGGCAACATTAAAATTTTAATGTAATGATTTTTTAAGCGTTATGTAAACTACAGAGGTCTCTTCATGCATCAGTTATTTATTCAGGCATCACTGTGTAGCAGAGCATAAGCTAAGGAGGCGGTACAAAAATAAGTGATACATAGACCCTAACTTCAGAAGCTGTGATTCTAACACGAGAGACAGTAACATAAATTGCTTGTGATGGTGATAAATGCTGTAATCGTCTGAGAGAGCAGTGTCACTCTGTGTTGCCTCATGCTCGTTCCAAATGAAGTCTAGGTAAGCTGAGATTTACTTGGAAGATGTAGTTAGCTAGGCTAACACCAAGAGGGAAGACAGGCCGCCAGACACTGTGGGCCAAGATTCGTAATCATTTCACTCTTACTATTTGGTGGCAACCACCTGAAAGAGGGATTTCCCAAATTTACACATGCAAACAATCAATCAGAGAAATAAAACGTAAAGTGAAATCCTTTCAAGGGGTCTAGGATTGCTTTTTAAAAATATATATGCATATTCAGAGAGGAAAGAAGAGGGAGAGATAGAAACATCAATGATGAGAGAGAATTATTGGTCGGCTGCCTCCTGCATGCCCCCCACAGGGGACTGAGCAGGTGCCCTAACCAGAATGGAACCATGACCTCCTGGTTCAACCACTCTAGCTGGGCAAGTTATTGCTTTTTAAAATAAAATAGACTTATCTAGCATTCATTTCTCTTGGTAATGTTCTGATTGATTTAGAAGGAACCAGTATGCAGTGCTTTTCCCCATAAGATGCCCCTTTTGAACTTTATTGTAAAAATGGTGACAGAGGATAAATCCAGGTACACTTCCTTTGATTACAGCATGAGAGACATTTGGCTACTCATATTATCAAAAACCGGTGATTTACCTTTCGTTTTTAATATGCCGTCTCTGACAATTAAAGGCAGAGTCTAACCAGCATTAGAATTGTTTCTTCTTGGTTTTAGACCATCCTGTTTACATACAGGAAATCTTATCAACAAGAGATAGTCCTTTATGCCACACCAGAGTGAAATCGGCTGAAAACATTCATTTCGAAAGTTTGTCTTATGTGGGCATTTTTGTGATCATCAGCAAAAGGAATGGGGCGTGTTCTGATATTTTAATTTTTGAGGGGAAAGTTCCTTGAAATTTTTTTTTCCCCCCTTGCCTCAAACTTGCTGGCCTATATTTCCTGACGTTTCCTTGACCTCAGTGAGATATCCTCCATGCTGTGGCATATTTTGGAATCTGCACTCCACCTTTGACCTAACCCACGCAGCAAGCTGCCGCCCAACACAGCTGCCCCCTTCAAGGGGGGGGAGTGTGTGTCTCCCGCCTCGGAATGTGTGTGTGCCCTGCTCCTCGTTACTGAGCCACCGCAGAGCCATCGCACAGATTTTTTTTTTCCTGCTCTGTCATCTTTTCTGCTGATACTTTGCAAGCTGGGGCCTGTTTTTACAATAACTTGGTTTTTGGTTTGTTTGTTTTTTTAATTCCTCTATTTCCTTTCCAGTAAACGATTAAAAACATAGATGAACTTGACTCTTAAGCAGTGAAGTGAAGCACATTTATTATTCTTCAATTGAAAATTTGCATACCTCACAGCTGAATATGAAGTGCCCTTTATTTAAACACTATTTGTGGCTCTTGATTTAACCCCTAGAGTCAAGAACCTAGTAATAAAAAAAAAAAAAGGAGTAAATTGTAATTCTAGTTATGGTGTGTTTTTTTTGTTTGTTTGTTTTTGTTGTTGTTTATTCAAATACCAGCTCCAGCACGCTTATCAAACTAGCATATCATAAAAAGTGAAATATGGCCCAGACCGGTTTGGTTCAATGGATAGAGCGTCGGCTTGGGGACTGAAGGGTCCCGGGTTCGATTCCGGTCAAGGGCATGTACCTTGGTTGCAGGCATATCCCCAGTAGGGGGTGTGCAAGAGGCAGCTGATAGATGACTCTCATCGATGTTTCTAACTCTCTATCTCTCTCCCTTCCTCTCTGTACAAATTCAATAAAATATATATTTTTTTAAAAAAGTGAAATATGGTTGTTTTCTATGTTGTCCACAGACATTTCGAACATATGATTGACTTAGGTTGAAATAGTACCAAACTAGAAATATAAATGTAAAGTCTTGAATAAACTAAGTGGAAAGAAAATTTTTTTATTGGAATCAGTAATTATTAGTAACTTATTAAGATAGAATATAATTCCATCAAAATGTTTTCTCTTGGTGCTGTAGCAAATTATCTCAAATTTAGTAGCTTCCAACAACCTGAGAGTTACGCCTGTATCGTCTGGAGGTCAGAAGTCTGAAATCAAGGTGTTGGCAAGGCTGCTTTCATTTCCAGGCCTGTATGGGCTTCGAGAGGCTGCCTGCACTCCTTGGCTTGTGGCCCCTTCCAGCACACCAACCTCTCGTTTCCATTGTCACATCTGTTCTTCACCCTGATACCCTGACCCCTTTATCAGGCCCATCTGGTTAATCCAGGACAGCCTCCCCACCTTGGCTTTCTTACTTTAATAACATCTTAATAAGTTGCTAATAATTACCCCAAAATCTGTTTTGCTATATGAAATAGGACTCACAGGTTCTGGGATTAGGATGTGGATCTCTTTTTGGGACCATTATTCAGCTGACGACCCTAAATTCCAGATGTTTTTGCATTGCATTAGGTGAATGAAATTAAAAAAAAAAAAAAAAGATGAGGGAATGAGGGAACTCAGTGTTTAGTCCTCTGCTCCTTGGACTGTAAGTCATATTGTCCCCTTTTTTGTATGTTGACCCAGGGCTGCTATCTAATTCTTTTAGGGCTTGAAATCGAATGTCTAGAGTAGAGGATTATTTACCATCATAAAAGAAATCTCTAGGATTCTATTCTGTGCTTATATTTCTAAGAGAGTATGAGCTTCAAGTCATTCACTCAGCAAATATCTCTTAAGTATCCACTCTGTGATAAACATAGGCTTGGCTCCAATGATCTAGAAGTTAAGCAAGTTCCCTCTGTGCTCTTTGGGAGCCAGGTTACTCTTTTCAAAAATCCGTTGTCCGGTACACACAGTCCAGCCCCCTGTAACGTTTCATACACATGCAAATTTAGCAAGGTCTCATGAAGGTATTTTTAAAAATCGGATTTGAAATATTTTCAGATTTTTGTATTTGGCTTTAGTTTTTGTTCTTGTCGTTAAGTCTGATAACTTCAAATGTTTAGTACAGGTTGGAAAAATAACGATTGAAAATTTAAATGTTCTTTGTTACAGATGTTTCATTTGGAGCCTTTGAATCATACAATATTTAACTCGGAAATATTTCAACCAGAGATGCCAATGCCAACAGGTAAGAAAACTCACTCCCACTACCTTGTTATTTGGCTTTTACTTTTTTAAATTCAGGATTTGCTAGTGGTCTCTTTTAGAAATGCAGTGTTATACCTGCAAAGGAAATGGTGACTTATGTTCTAAAAAACAATCTTTTAGCCCTATCTGGTTTGGCTATTCGTATGTGGCTATAGCGTTGGCCTGCGGACTAAAGGGTCTGAGGTTCAATTCTGGTCAAGGGCATGTACCTCAGTTGTAGGCTTCTCCCTGGCCCAGGCCCTGGTCAGGGTCCATGTAGGAAGCAACCAATCGATGTGTTTCTCTCACATCGATATTTCTCCCTGTCTTTCCCTCTCTCTTCTGCTCGCTCTAAAAAATCAATGGAAAAATATCCTCGGTTGAGGATTTAAAAAAAAAACAAAACACCACAATCTTTTAATATACTTTCTTGAAATATATTTGCACAAAAATGTTTCACCCCACATTACCCATTATATGACTTACAATTGTTGCTAATATTTGCTAAGACAGCTCAGAAGGAATTTCTTCACTCAATGTAAGGATTTTCCCTTTTAGCCAATCTTACCATCTCTGAGTTATTTTTAACTCCTCTTTGTTTTGTCCCAGACTCTGGTGGTTTCAACTCCTCTGATCTATTACAAAAACACTCATTTGAGTACCTATTGTGTATACCAGACACTGGGGATACAAGTGCATAAAAATCATAAAAATCAGCTCAATAAAAAAAAAAAAGAATAATCTTTTTAAAAAGCTTTTAGCTTTACATTCTGCCCAGTTGGATAAAACATATCATAATCATCCTTCCTTCTAACGTGACTATGTTAATCATCTCCACACACAGCTTGTTTTAATTTATTGATTTGTATGTAAGCTCTGTCTGATGGTTCTTTTTATGTGCCCCTCACATTACCAATGGTACCGAACAGACATTTGCAAGCACAGGGTGAGTCAATGATAGGAGCTGCATATAAAACAGCGAGTTTTGTAATCACCAAAGTGGACCTCAGCTCTTCGATTTAACGTGGCCTTGTTTGGCCTTAGTGGAAGAATTTGTATTATTCTATTTAAATAATAACACCTATTATTGCTATTCTGGTACTTATTTTTTAGATCAGAATGTTTCCTACATTTTAATCTCTGTTATTTCTGGGACTTCATGAGAAGATATTAATAAATCTGCTTTTCCTTCACCTTCGCCATCCAAAGTTGTATTCCTGAGGTCTTTTTCTCTTTACCCCACAAAACACATTTTGTAGACTCCGAAATTTAAGATCTTGTGAGCTGCTGTCCAATTTGAACTCTAGGTCAGCTTCCTGTGAAGAACAAGTAAATATCTTGGTAGCTTCTGTGTTTCCTGTCAACTTTCAATTCTGGGGATCAAAGTGTCTTTCTTAGTATTAATGCTTTATTGAAAACATCAGAAGTTGGTTCTGCCTCTCCGGAAACATAAACCTTTCCATTTAATGCCTATAGATGCCAAACAGTATCCGGAGGCAAATGCTTTGATAATGTCTTTATTTCGTCATGATTTATGGAAGTAGAAATAAGATTACCAAGAGAACTATCTTAGTAAATATTCTGTAGTCAGTTTCACATTGTAGAAATTATTTTGCCATATTTAGAAAAGCTTTCAAAATTATACCAAATGACTTATTTCCCAGTTATTACTTTGTCATTTTTATTGTTATATTTCTCTCGGTTGCAGTAGCATAGTCAAGTTTTTATAATCCAAGATGTATGCTATTTTATTCACATTTTAAAGGGCAGAAAGGTCATGGGTACCAATGTTGTAATTTTCACATGGACTATTTTATATGTTTCTTGAAAAATAAAATTATAAGTAGTTCTATAACTTGTTGAAAACTTTGAAATATAGTGCAGCTATTAAATCTATAATATTATGCTGTTTTTTACATTTCTCTATAAAAATGGGTTGTCACATCATCAGATAGACATGAGACCAAAAAAAAAATTTAGCATTAAAACAAACATATGGGTATCCAATCTAATTTTCTAGTTGATTTAAGTTTTGAGTGTGTTCCCTGAAAGGAAAATTGCCCCATTTCACTAACAAAATTCCCAGACCTTTAAAAATGTCACATTTCTAAAAGAAATATCATCATTTAGCAAAAATAATAGGAAAACTTCAAGTGCTTTTATAAGAATTAATTGTGAGAAATTAACATAAAATAATATTGTCAACTGCAATTGAAAAATAAATAATTAATAATAATAATAATATTAATAATAAGTGAGAGACTTGAAGTTTAATATAAATATGTTCCCACTCTCCTAGGTTTCCTATGGCTTCGAAATGCCGCTTTGTTAGAGGCCTCTCTTCCTGATATGTTCATTTAGTGTCCTAAAGGGAACGTTTCTATGACTATATCTGTTACGCTGACATACAAATTATATGTTAGTAGTGTGAAAATATTCCTATTTCTTATTGATTTTATCTTCTTATCAAAAATTAAATTTTAACCATGTTTTAGAATCTTCAAATCACAATTCCTTTTCTAAAAGCAGTTGAAAATGTGCAGGGATGAATTTTATACAGACAAAGGAGATAATTTACATAAATTATACTACTTTGGCCAGTCACTTCTCATATTTCCTTTTGTGTGGATGTTTTGCTTCAAATTCAGTCATTTTTCAACTGCCTTTCTTGGTACATTTCTTGAATAGGAACAGGGAATAATTATACCTTTGTTCCCTATAGTTCTCTAGCCTTGTTCTGATTCATCATAAAACTTAAAGGATAAAAATAATTGCCCTATTAATTTAGTTGTTTATTTTTTAGTTCAAGCTGAAGGTGTTTATTTTATTCTTCTTAAATGTATTTATTTAATGTAATAGGACTTGAATTTCTGGCTAAGGGACATTGGGGATTGAAATGGACACAAGCATTCTCCCAGTGTATTTTTTTTTGTTGTTGTTGGTATACTGAACTTTTTCATTAACATTCAAACAGGTGAGAAACAGCATATGCCTTTATTTATTGAAGAACTATGGGTTATTATATTGTTGTCAAAAGACACCATGGGGAGCTTAGGGACTTTCTCACATTGAACAAATTTGTATTTATACTGTCAGAGATTCTGATTTTCCTTTGAATTTCCAAAGTCAGATATAATCAGAATATGGAATAAGCTTCTAATTTTCTTTATGTTTTTATAATAATTAATTGGCATGCACCTACCATTAATTATTTTCAGGATTTTACAAAATGCTTGTGATTGTTTTAGATTAAAGTTTATATCAGAGCACAGTATTCAGAAATTGTATACAAACATCAAAAGCTATAGATTTATTAGAAAAGTCCATCATACCTGGTAGACCAAATTAAATTTGGGAAGGAGCAGGAACAAGCTAGCTAGTTAGGGAATGAAGGCTAGTTCTTATGGATTCAAGTAAGGGGAAGGAACGAGAGATGTAATATAAGGAAAAGCAGGCAGCCTGAGACCATTATCTTTATATTTCACATACGTGGGTGTCATTTCAGTCCGGTAATGTCACAGGAAGCAAGGAAGCCAGTATCTAATGCTGTGAATGAAAGAAAAAAAAAAGTCATAGAGTCCAGGAAGTCATTGCTGCTTTTAATTGGCATTCATGTCATTTTTAAAATGCTTTGTTAGTACACAAGATTATGAAGGCTATTCACATATTAATTTTTACCAAACACCAGGACTTTTGTTAGGTTGTACAATGTACTACCATCATTCAAAAAATGTTTTTTATTATTGTGGTTCTCTAAAGGTATAAAACTGTTAAAATAATAATAAATGTAATATTCAAATGAGGGAGATAAATTATATCCTTGTGAAATCTTAGCTAAAAATTTTCATTGAAAATTTTATTTTCAAACATAATTTCCGTTTTTTGCTTGCTTAGTATTATATACCAAATTTGAGAAGCCTCACATTCTTTTGGTTTTTGTCTGTTGTTTTTGTTTTTAGCAGATGGCCCATACCTTCAAATATTAGAGCAACCTAAACAGGTAAGAAGATGAAAGGAGTGGGAACTTTCTCTTTAAATGTTAGATTCATAAGTCGAATATTAATATCTCAAGCACCAAAAAATAGCAACTGAATTTTGTGAAGGAAATAGCTGATCTAGAAGACCAACAACTTGCCAAATTATGTAACAACTTCATTCGTCCATTTGACATTTCTCTTAGTCATTCTGCAGACTGTCCTGAGTTTCAATGCGCAGTTCCGTAAAATTTCCATTAATTATAGATCCTTGGTATCTTGTATCTCCACCAACTTTGCTTACCAGCCACTCCCAGGAAAGATAGGCTCTCTCCACTCATACATAAATAACACATATGTGCAGCTCACATATATGCAATTACATCCATCAGTCGTGTCCATCACATGCAGTACTTGTTGGCCTTCCTCCCACCTTGAGTAGCTCCAGCCTTTTCTTAGGGTAGACCATGTACCCTAAAGTATTAAAACCACCAGTGGAAGATGAATTATATTAGAATGGGCAGTTGAGTTCTCTTCTTTCTGGTGTTAACTTTAGACTCAGCCTCTTTGTAGTCAAGAGAAGGAGCATTTTGTTTCCTCAGGTTCTTCCTCTTCCCACTGGATTCTGTAGAGGATCTCTGGAAATAAAAGTGGCCTCCTCACCCTGCTTCAGATCTGCCGATAATAGTGATTGGAAAGTGGGTGGAACCGGTGCTATGAAAGAGGAAGAAAGAGAATCTGTAACAACTGCCTGTAGATTTCAGTTTTAGGAGCTAGACGTGATAGTATAGTCCAGTGGTCGACAAACTGCGGCTCGCGAGCCACATGCAGCTCACGAGCCACAGTTTGCCGCTCTGTTGACTAATGAGTTTGCTAACCACTGGTATAGTCCTCTACAGATTGAGGACAATCAGTAAATCTCTAAATAGATGTGCTTACCAAATTTGTGTGAGACCATGGGTTTGTGTACCTGTGTCCTGCACTTATATTGCCCAATACTTTTCCTAAATGTTTTTAGTAGCTCAGATGAGTATAGCATTTAGTAAATGCTAACTAGGTCAAGAACTTAAAGCATTTGTTGTGGCATTATGTATGTATTTGGATTTTGGTCAACATTTAAAGGGTATAAATATCATAACTATGACCAATAGACTTTCTTTAAAAGGCTGAATTTAGATAAAAGTTTTTGGTATGGGGACTGGCATGCCACATGAGATTTTGGGGCATTGCTCCAGTAGCTTATAGGTGACACCACCAGACTCCACAGTCTGCCAACATTACTTTCCTTTACTAATCTCCAATTCCATAGTGGTGACTTCTCCCAGCTGGTCACCAATTCCCTCAAACACCCTCCCAGGGGAACTTTATCCCTAAAATTTTGTGCAGGGGTCCGGCCTCCTGGAAAATTTTCTAATTGGAAGATCTGGGTCATTTGTAAAAATGAGAAATCAACTAAAAGTTATTTTTCTGCATACCAAATCATGTTTTCAAATATCTGTTTTCATAAGCATAGCACCACCATGAGAATTTTAAATGCATTTCTTATTATGGCTCTAACAGTTATAAGGAAAAATTGGCATTTATAATTTACCTTAAGGTATTTCCAAAATTCAAAACATAATTCACTATACATGGAGATGCAAAAGCTCATGTGAGTAAAAAAATGTGTTTATTTACCAAACTGATGTTATTTTGATGTCTGACTCCAGTGAAAGTAAGAAAGTTGTATTCAAGTCAGACTTTCTGACTGGGTGGATATAGGTTTGCCTTTGAGGTTGATGACTCATTCTAAGCAAATGGAGATACTGAGATGAATAGCTGTGGATTCACAAACCTTTAATCTCAGAGACACAGAATCAGAAATGCATCTAGACTATGCATTTGAAGACACCCTATCTTCCTTAAAAAAAAAAAAAAAAAAAAGAAATGTCTACCCTCAGGTTAAAATTCCTTTAGAACTTTAGATACTCTTATGCAACCATGAAAAATATCTATTTTTTAAGCAAGCTATTAAGACACATTTCTTTACTCATATTCTATTTGATGTCACTCCCAGTAAAACATAAAAGTACACATGCTATATTTTTCCAACTCTCCTAAAGGAATTTTGTGATTCAAGATAATGAATTCCTTTATTGCATTTTAAAAAATAAAAGTTAGAAAAATGTTCTTTTTTTCTTTGCGGTCTCTTTGCCACAATTCTCCCCAGTTCTGACAGAGATGAGTCATAGCATAGACTGCTAATCTTTAAAATATCCATTTCTGTTGCATATTATTCATTGGTAATTATCTAATACTGTTTAAAAAATGAAGTATTTAAATTGAGTAGCAGTCAAGTGAATTTCTGCCTTTATTCTGGAGGCTAACTGTTGCATATGCTGATGCTTTTATTTTCTAAAATACATTTTATTGATTATTTTTACAGAGAGGAAGGGAGAGAAAAAGGGACAGAGAGCTAGAAACATCAATGAGAGAGAAACATCCACCAGCTGCCTCCTGCACACCCCCCACCGGGGATGTGCCTGCAACCAATGTATTATACTTGCCCTTGACCGGAATAGAACTCGGGACCCTTCAGTCCTCAGATTGACACTCTATCCACTGAGCCAAACCGGTTTCGGCTTTTTTCATGCTTTTCAAAGCCCATTTAACTATTAAAAATAAGCACCAGCCTTTGTCTACAAAAGGTATAGGGCTGAATTTGTATTTTTTTAGTTTTAATTTTTCGAGAGGCAAAATAGAAGAATTGCCCCTACATGACTAACTGCACCTCAGAAGTCTTCTCTAGCAGTGAAGTCCCGCTTTGACAAGTTGATCACACCTCCAGACCTGTGACTTGAGGAGCTATCCTTCACCAGAGAACTTACTTCAGGCCCTCTTCATCCCCTGAAGCATGCTATGGTGCTGAGCATCTTTGCAAATCAGGAAGATCTCAGAGAGTATGAGAACAGAGAGTTCCAGATGCCAGAGATTTAAATTCACTCGGGACCCCTGGACCACTCAGAGACTGTTTCCCAGGACCCTGCACAAGGAATAATGAAATGTAGTTCAGTCTGAGGAGGGTGAAAATTTTACATCGATGGATGAATTCAAAGCTGTTAAAATCTTAGTGTTTGCCCAGCCAGTGAGCGTCAACCTATGAACCAGAAGGTCATGGTTGGATTCCCGCTTGGGGCACATGCCCAGTGGGGGCCCTAAGAAGGCAGCCAATCAACGATTCGCTCTCATCATTGATGTTTCTGTCGCTCCCTTCCTCTCTGAAATCAATAAAAATATATTTTAAAAAATCAGAGTTGCTATGACTGTGCTGGGTAGAAGCCCCACCAGGGAGCAGTGGGTGTAAGGAGCTCCTGATGGCCTAGTGATCTAGCACTGTGTAGATGAAGTCAGTCCCACCATAAAAATAAATGACAGGTGAGGTTATTACATAAATTATATTAACAAACTCTTTTCACCAAAGGGTGAATTTGAGAAAACCATCCAGTTAGTGACTTTATAATTATTAACGACTAATGCTGCCACACTTTGGCTTACATCATTATAAAGTTGCATCTTTCAGGAAATAGATTGAAAGTTCCCTTAATATTAAGATTATGAGATCCATTCTCATAATTGCCCTTATTTTACTCTTTGTATACAAATTATAATGGTTAGTTTTGTAAATCATAAAATGTTAGAACTGGGATAGGTCTTAAATGTAGTCTAGTCCAGTCTCATTTGTATAGATTATAAAAATATAAGACTTAGGGTTTTTTAGCCTAAAGTAGTTCATATAGTGAAGACTTCCGGCTAACTCTACATTGATTTACAACAGTTTTAAAATTCTTGGGTTAATAATATTTAAAGAGACTGGTTTTGGACTCATTCAGGTCAGTTCATATAGAGAGTGTGAGCCTGATAATATCAATAATCAAAAATCTTATCTTCTGAATTATTGAGAGAAACTGGCCAAATGTGGCATCTAGCATAGGATGTGTCTACAGCGCTGACATGCTATATTTAACAAGGCATTTCTGTATTCCCTGCTGAACCAACTGTAACCAGAGTAGATAAAGGAATTCCTTTAAATAAGAGTCAAAGAAGCATAACTTGGAGTGTAATATGGCCAAGTTCAGAGCTTGGCGGCGGCAATTTGAGATGAAGAAGCTCTGGTTCAAACAAGCTGCAGCACGTCCAGTCCAAGGCTTAAACTAACTCTTCAGCAGTTCACTCCCCACCTGTGCATAGCAGGAGAGTTTCTACAGGGTTAGGGACCGCTCTTTAAAGCCACCAGTACACAAAATACCAATTAACCTCACAGTTCATAGTAAGATTATGGGAAAAGTGGTTTTCATTGTCATAATCCTCTTCCACACATTTCTTATTTTTTTCTCTCTTATCTAATACACAAAAGAATTAAAACTTTGTATATAGTTTGTCCTGGTACTTTTGAGTAAGTATTTCTCAAATGTGTTGGCTCTGTGCTCACCTTTCCAGAGAGGATTTCGTTTCCGTTATGTCTGTGAAGGCCCATCCCATGGCGGACTCCCCGGTGCATCTAGTGAAAAGAACAAGAAGTCCTACCCTCAGGTCAAAGTAAGTTCATGATGACTTCCTCTGTGGGCTTTGGAAGATTTGATTTCCTAGCAGTGCCAGTGAGGAACTGCTTTACTTGAATGCAATTTGCTTTTACCCCTAAGCTGAAATACTCACATAATTATTATTATTATAATTTTCATATAGAAATGTGTCTCTTAGTAACAGAAGTCTCAGATTTTGAAACCTCATTATTATTCCCATTCAGTAGAAATTATTTCAATCTTAGCTAACCAACTTTTACTATTCCTTCATCACTTTAAAGGGTTTTTTTTTTAACTATATACCTCTTGATACATTAAGAAATCTTTAAAAGGAGCGCTTGATTTCAGCTTTTTAGAGATTTAGTGAAAGCTGAAACAGATGACTGAGGGTATGATTGGATAGCATAATATTTAAGATCATGCATTCAGGTTCAGACTGTTACTATCTGCATGGCTTTGACTAGGTTATCCACTTCTAATCCTCAGTACCCTAATATGTGAAATGCAGAAATATTGATGGTATATGCTTTGTAGAGTCTCTTAGATTGGAAGTACCACAGGGTCTCTGCTTGGCAAATGGACATCCACACGTGGAAGTCCCTGGAATGTCTCTCTTGATGATACCACTTGATGAATGTGTGCTTGGTCAAACCCTTTACACACTGTCAGGTTCTTTCTCTGTTAATTTAAGAAGAATATCTTTATTTACGTTAATTTGAGTTTTTATTTTCATAAATGGTGCCGTGTTTCGTTGACTGATAATGGTTTTGGGGATAAACCCGCCAACAATTGCAATTTCATTGTTTATAAAAATTCGTATTGTTCAATAATTCAAGGCTTCAGCAAAAGGTTACCAACTTAGTGCCCACTAAGATGCACCCTTTAGGAGATGACATACATTTGGCCTCAGTGTTTGTGTTTGTTCTTGTGAATCAGTGAAGGACAGCAGGACAGGCCCTCGGGACAATCACGATGTCAATGAAATTTGTCTTTGGTTGCCAGGTTTGCATCTTGTTTCTTCTCTTTCCTCCTCCCCACTTCTAGCTCAGATCTTTCTAATTTCTTACCCCTGTTCTGAAACAAAATACAGAATACTGTGATGTCATTCTTTACTTTTTGAATGAAACCCACCCATATTATCGACGGTGGATTCTACCAATCACATTTGCATTTTAAGCCTCATGGCTCTCCTATGGAATGAAAGATGTTTTTCTTCTTCACAGTCATTGAGCAGGGTAAATACAATGTGTTTAGCTCGCAGGAGATGACACTCTTATGGTCACAGTCCTTTGGAATCTACATGAGGAAAGAGGAGAATTAGCATTTATTAAGCACCAAAGATTTGCCAAGTGCTTTGCATATATTACCTCTTCTAATCCTCATAACAACCCTGGTAAGTTAAATGTTTAATGCTTATGAGGAAGCTAAGGCTCCGAGAGAAGAATTAACTTGCCTTTCTCACAAGACTGTGGCTCTTTATCCTACAGCTGACTATTGCTCATTGAACTTGCACATGGAATGTGTGCATTTGGGTTGCTCAGGCAAAGACGGAGTGGGCAGGATGTGGAAGGACAATGGTGAAATAGGGACAGAGAATTATAACTCTGGAAAAAAGGTAGAGAGAGGCTCAGGGACTTCAGATATTAGGGAATCAGATCCAGCACTTATCTTTTCAACATATGTATCTGTGTGCCCTGTACATACATACATACATATATATGTGTGTATACTGTATATTCAATATATAAATATATATTTAGTATGTGTTCATGTGTATACTTGTGATAGAATAATAGAAAGATATATGTTATCAGCGTTGACACTGGGAGTTTTTTCTAGCCTGGCTCTGTACAAAAATATAAATTATAGTATTTTCATGTGCGATTTACTTCTATTGCTTTGTGGCTGAGTAGACATTCTTGATACTAACAAGAATATGGCGTTCATTAACTTTGCTGTAAGTGTGTTATCTAATTAAAAACTTTTTGCATCCATTTATGCTCAGTCTTCATGCAGTCTTCTCATGTGGTGGTTGCTGCCTTACATTTACAAAATAATTAGAAATGAAACAATCCAATGGTTAGATGTTCTTATCAGATTATAGTTTCTGTATCAATGAGTTTATTACTGAGTGGGATATACAGATATATAAACAACTGATACTAAAGGAAGTTAAAATTCACATGTATAAATTGGTCATTATTAAACATCAGCTAATGGCTTTATTATTCTAGCTACCCATTTCTTTTTTATTCACTAATTTCGCATATATGTATTAAACATTAAGCATTTAATCCAGTTATAAGAAAAGGAAGAACAGTGTAGGGATCTGTTACAAGCTGGCATTGTTCTTCTAGCCTGTTCTCGTCCATTGGAAGTTTAAATAACTCTGTTGTTCGTTACAGTTAAAGGAAGTAATTTTGTTTATCTTAGGAGCTCTTGAGCAGAAGGATGGGAAGGAGAAAGAGAAAGCAACAACCATGAGACAATTTTCCCAGAGCTCTTCTCCCAATATCACTTTCAATGGTCTTTTCATAATGAATAGATGAGAGTGACCTTTACGTTTACAGGGGGATTTTAAATCCCTTCAAAAAGTTTGCAGAGGAAAGACTTGCTCTCATTGTATGTCTCCTCTCGGGAGAACCTTTACAACTGTACCTGTGCTCTGCAGTAGGTGATGAGGCACCCTCTCTAGGTGAGGGTGTGAGGAAAGCTGTGGACAGACACAGCTAGACCAGGGGTTCTCAAACTCCTCTCTGTTGACATTTTGAGCCAGAAAACACTATGGTAAAGGGATTTCCAGTGCCTTATGGAATATTCAGCAGTATCCCTGGCTTCTACCTACCAGATGCCAATAACATCCCTACAGCTGGGACAACCAAAAGTTTCTCCAGACATTGCCAAATCACCCTGCTTTATAAACCACCCATCTGGATGCAGTGTCCAGTCAGCCTTAACCCTGTCCTGTGCACACTTTTCTACTCGAAAACTGTGGCCGTAGGTTACAGGGGGTTGCCTAAGTATATTACTTGGCAAATGTACCTTTCCTGATTATTGGTAGATACTTATTTTCAAGATGATGGTCATGGTGACTATAATCTCTTCTAGAACCTCTGAACTAGCATAGGTGGATATTAAGGAGAAAGAAAAGAGTATATATTATATGTCCACCTATGCTAGTACAGAGGTTCTAGAAGACAAGTAAACATATCTTAAATATTCCACATTCTGTGATAACTGCATATCTGAAAGTTAACGTATGAGTTCCGTCGGCTCTCGGCATCAACTGTTACAGAAGGGAAAGGGAAAGTGGAGAGGGGTTCAGTCAAGGCAGCGCCCCTGCAGAGCCTGTGTGCGCAGTGGGAGCCTCTATGGACTGGTCCTCATCCAGCCTCCGTGGAGGGAGGTGTAAGGGCGAGTGCCCCACTTAGACTCCGCCATCCATTCCACAGGGACTTCAAAGAGAGGGCATTTACAGTGACTGGGGGAAAATATTTCTGAGATTTACATTCACTACATACTTAATAAAGTACATTGGTCAGGCTTAACTGTGAACTGTGATGGGCTCTGCCTTTTCCTCACCTACAAACCAGTACAGCCTCTTTCCCTTCTCTCCACTGCACCTGCCTGCCTCTTCCCGTCATGCCTCTGTGAGATCACACCGCTCCCTTGAGAGGCCCTGAAAGGCAGGTGGCTCAGCGTGCCCTCAGTCACATGCAGGCAGCAGCAGAGGGTCGGGGCCACCTGAAAGCCATGGGGACTGGCTGAGGTAGCGGGTGCAGACCCGTAACTGCTTTACAGACCGTGTGAATGTATAACCTGCTAGGCCCAGCCTCTTGCTGATTGTCCACATATTCCACAGGTTAAGTCATTTTAAAACCAACTCTAGGAGGCTGCACCGACCCTCCTTTTTCTACTGAATTTTGTCCCGTGTTTGAAACCCTGTTTCAAAAAAACTCCCTGTAGGCTCAGCTTAGACACTGTCTTACTAAATCGAGATTATTTCTAGAACTCAGACTACCACACCACCTGGTGCTCTGCATGTTTATTTCAGGTCAGGGAACTCCAGTTAGCTTTCTAGGGTTTCGCTGTGTAAGTCATCACATTCCCTTTTAACAACTGTTTTCATTATAAAGGATTTCAAGCATAGAGAACACTTAAAAACTGTTCACTTAATAACAGACACCTGGTATCACCATCTCAATTTAATACATATTAACATTTTACATTAACATAAGTATTTGCTTCTGAGTGCTCTCCCTCTTTTTAAAATAAAACCTAGTTCCAGTGAAAGCCCCACCCATTCACCACTTTTTCCTTCTTCAGGCATAGACTTCTATTCTGAGTCTTCATTCTCTGAAATGTTTCCACTGGCTTCGTCCTTTACCAGGGCAAAGAAGGGTTAAAGCTGGGCTTCATTGAAGATTAGTGTTCACTTTGATCCTATTGATTCCTCTTTACCATCTAGATAAAACTTCACAATGAGCAGAGTATTCTGACTTTTACAGCAAATCATCATCATAATAATAGAGAAAAAAATCGAAAGTAAATATGCAATCTAGCTCTTATGTCTTGCTTTTCTTTCCCTTTTTTTTTTAAATAAAACTTCCTGTTGTTAAACATTTAATAATCTATTATGCTGTCCTATAAAGTTTCCCTTTAAAGTTTCCTCAGTACTGATTTCATCGGGAGCTCCTAATGGCAGAGGCTGGCAGAAGAGCACAGGCACCTTCCTTGAGGCCAAGCTTGTCCCTGCCTGTCTTTGACTCAACAAGGAGTGCCAGGGAAGGCTCATTTCCCTTTTTCCCGAAAGTTATGCATGAGATTTTTATTAATCAAACACAACTGCCTTCCTCTTCACAGAGGTGGACAGGTGCCAGCCGGAGCAGCCCCACGGGGCCTCAGAACCTCCCTGCTTCTCTTCTTGAAAGCACCCATTCGCAGCTGAGGAGGCATCCTCCAGGGGGGCTCGGCCAATGCCAAACAGAAATCAGCACCAGGAGCCTTGACTCTAAA